TAACACGCGGCTGAACTGTTTAGAACTACTTATCGGCTACAACTTTCTCACGTGAACCTAGGCAATAGAGTTGCCAATAATCACTGCTACACATTTGTTGAAAGTAGAGTTGAGGGATATGGACTTGCACTTGCGCAGGTTTAACAGGTAAATACTCATACTACTGCCAATATTTCAGCAAACCAAACATAAAATTTCTTTTGCATTGTTCTGCCTTTCTCTCGAAATTCATCCCCTCCCTTAGCCACCCAAAACTTTCCTGTCATTCGAAAAAAAGAATGTTGAGTTAACGTTATAATCGGTTCTAGAAAACGAAGCGAAAAAGTAGACACCAATTTTTTAAAGATTTGAAGCATTGGTCATTAATTCACCAAAAGAAGGCGAATGCTATTGCAAATGATTTGGTTAATCATTTAACCTTGCGCATTAATAATATATATGAAATCAATTCTTGGCCATTCTGCCGTCCTAATGGAAAGTGTGGAAAGCATTTTGACGAAATTGAGTTAAATACACAATCGTTAACACCAAAACATTATCTATATTTGGCTATAACTCACGTATCAAAATGCCCATGGGAACCCTGTAACACAGGAAGTGAAACTGCAGTAACTTAGTACAATGTATAACATTTGCTAATTTAAAGTACATTAAGATTAATTACTATATGGCGATGGAATTCTAGCAATAATCGTAGTATGTAATAGTTGTTGCACTTATTTTATTTATGTTTTAAAAAATCTACTATGTCAGAGTCAATTATAACTGCAGTTGCACTTATTTTATTTATATTTTACACAATCTACCATCTCAGAGCCAATTATAGCTGCAGTATCTAATAGTTACTGCACTAATTTTATTTATGTTTTACTAAACTCTACCATCTTAGAGCTAATAATAAGTGCAGTATCTAATAGATATAGATATATCCAATAGATACTGCACTTATTATAAATCATTAACATTTTGTATTTGCAATTCTAATAAAACTGTAATAACTGATATAGATACTGCAGTTATAATTGGTGAGAAGACGTCTCGTGGTGTGTGCGGAGCAGGGTAAGCTAGTTGCAATCAGTCGTCACACAAAGGAGTATTTCTAAGCAAAAATCGATCAATCGATTTCAAAAGTTTTGCTAAAGTGGCAAAATGTGCACCGTTAAAGCATAATAACCGTTACACCACTAAACGGGAATTTCAACGCTCCTATTTAAACGTTTCAACCCAATTCTGTGTTTATGTGTGGTGAAAGTTTTGTAATACCTATAATGAATATTGAAGAGGTAGGTACGTACTTTAACTAAAAATTATATTTTCCGAATGGCACTTGATAAAGTGATATTTCTTACCTTATACATTCCACAATAAAAAAAAGTTTTTTTTGTAATCACTATATTCACACATGATTATGTATATCAGTTAAGCCTAGTTAACTTATGATTTTGTGTGTAACTTAAAACTTAGTTATTCTTGATAATGTTTTTAAACAAAAAATCTCGCTTATATCCGCCTTATTTTTATTTCTGTTTTTAAAGTCTTAAGACAAAATATTGTTTTTTAACAAAAATTTGTTTCAAATTATTTTTTCAGGATTTTCAGTGCTGGCGGTGAAAATCACTGAGAAATTACTGTATAAAGTCTTGAAATAATGTTCGAAGAAGAAAATGGACGCCAAATTCGCGTCCTGAAAATGAACGAGCTCCACTAAATGCTAAAGCAAAAACTTTAAAAAGTTTTTAAATTTGATTTAAATCCCCAAATCCAAATGTAATGCCTATTATTTTAGAGACTTAATCAAGTGAACACAAAATTGATGTAAAAAAATATGAAAGTTGCTGAAAATACAGCGAAACTTTATGTCGTGTTGTATGGGTGGTAACCCAATGACAAAGTTTGACATAGCGCTACAATAATTGATTTAGGTTTAGGCAATAATTACCTTGTCTATAACCTAAATATCCTGCCTGACATAGAAAAATATCTTCATAGCATAAGAGTTACTAGAATTTCGTATTGCATTTTATACATATATAAACTTCATTTATAGGTTCTAGAGTTTGAAACTTGTCTTCAAGATAGGACAAAATACCTAAATGAAATGTTTGTGTGAGTAAGTATTTGAGATATCTTGGATATCGAGTTTAAAATTTAATTACTACGTTCTTTAATTATTAATGCAAAGATTTACCACTACTCGTTCGTTATACACATACTATGTTTTATATTTGATTGGCACATTGCTATCGTTATTTTAATTTTTAAAAATTGTACTAAAAACTACTTAGTTTTTAGTACAATTTTTTAAACTTTCACTTGAATACTAATTTTGAATGTCATAATAGGGGTTAAAGTATGAAATTGCCGATTTGTACTGAAAATCTAAATTGTTTATTTTTTAAATGTTGAACAAATTTATTTAATCAAAATAGTTGCCATTATTATCTATACATTGCTGCGATCTAATGGGAAGGTTATAAATGCCTTTGCGATAGAACTCCGACGATCTAGACTGCACAAACTGTGTGAAAGCATTTTGTACTGCCTCCTGGGAGGAAAACTTCTTGTCACGTAGATAATTGTCCAAATCACGAAAAAAATGGTAGTCCGTTGGAGCAAGGTCTGGTGAATACGGAGGATGACGAATGGTTTCTAACTGCAGTTCCTGAAGGGTCAAAATGGTTTCTCGTGCTGTGTGAGGTCTCGCGTTGTCGTGGAGCAATAATGGTGAAGATCAATTCATGAGTCGGGGCTGTTTTACTGCTAGTTTTGTCAACATGGTTCGGAGTTCGGCACAATAGACATCTGCCGTTATTGCTTGACCAGATCGGAGAAAACTATAGTGAATAACACCATGCTGAGACCACCAAACAGTTACCATTACCTTTTTATTGGTAAGTTTTGCTTTAGGACACTGTTGTGGCATTTGACCTGGGGTCAGCCATTGCATTTTTCTTTTCCGGTTATCATAAAGAATCCACTTTTCATCACATGTTACAATTCGATCCAATATTCCTTCATTTCTGTACCGGTTCAACAAGGCAACACAAGTTTCAACACTCGTTTCTTTCTGCAGATCAGTCAAATCATGAGGCACCCATTTTTCGTATTTTTTTATTTTATTGATTTGACGCAAGTGAGTCAATATTGTGGGTAAGGTAACGTTAAACCATGCCGCTAATTCCTGGGTAGTTTGACTAGGATCGGCTTCCACTATCTCTCTTAATTCATCATTATTCACCTGTGTGGGCGGTCTTCCTCGTGGCTCGTTCTTTAAGTCGAAATTTCCATCACGAAAGCGTTTAAACCAAAATCGCACGGTGCGTTCATTAGTAGACCCCTCTCCAAACGCAGCATTGATATTGCGGGCTGTTTCTGCCGCGTTAGTTCCGCGTCGGAACTCGTATTCAAAAATCACTCGAATTTTCGCAGTATCCATCTTTCTTGTCTAAATTGAATAACAAAAACAATTGAAAGTCGATATTCAAATGTTTCAAATTAAAAAAAAAATCACAGAAACCATTTGAAAAAAGTTTCATTCGAAAACCTCAAACCATGAAGATTCTATGAAAATTCAAAGAACCTATTGCAATAAAACGGCAATTTCATACTTTAACCCCATTGACTTACAAATAAATGGACGACGGGTTTAATACAAAAACCACGAAAAAAATGTCCCAAGTCAACCTATTCGAAATTTAAATTGTAATGTCATCGCAGTATCGCGCTGTCAGTAGAACAAATGAAGACTAAAGCGGAGTGTCGCGCTCTGTATACGATTTTAGCGCCTTACAAGTGCGGACACTTTTTAGCGCGGACCCGACGTCCATATAATTGTAAGTCAATGTTTAACCCCTAATATATTACAATTCTTTTGTATCAATTTAAAACATTGTCCACGAAAATGACATATTAACCGTCTGTGATCCATTTGTGATCTAGTCAAATTGACTTCTAATTTGCAAACAGCGTTAAATTATATCTACTATTTTGTGTAGCGAAAGCAATAATTTGTTGCGATTATTTTGATTACTATAACATGAAGTAATACAAAAAGTTTTAACAGCATTCGAAATACTAGATGTGGTTCTTCATATCTTAAATATTGTAGAGGAAGTAAAGGGCGTTTTTCTACTAACCTTGTTCTAAGTTCTATAAGAACATACTATGAATATTTTAAGGTTCGAAATATATATTGAGAGAGATATTGAGTTTTGACTGTTTAGGTACTAATTTCACAATTTTGAACATCAAATATATATTTGATGTATAACAGTAGAGAATAATAAAGACTATTTGGGAGCTGTAATGGTTAAATCACTGAAAGAGAAGCGGCGGAGTGTAGTGGCCGGAGGAGCCAGCACTCTCAACTAGCCTCTTTGAACTAGTCGCTTCAAGTCTCGCGCGGCTGCTCGCGGCGACGCACTATAAGTACATTCTATCACTTCAAATGAATCCTAGCTTTTTTCTTCAGAGGCTTATATAAACATATACTTTGCACCAATAATGCTCCTCCGGCCGCTGCTCTTTCAGTGAGACTTGACCCTAAATTTCAAAATGAGATCGCGGTCATGGAAACCACTATACCATCGGAGATTGGCAGTAATTTTAAATCTAAATTGTACTGTTCATCTGCTATTTGCCGTTGCCGCTCGGAAGTTTCCCTGAAACTTGCTTAGGACAGGAAATAAAAATATTTTTTTGGACCTAAAATAGCATAGATACCTACATTTGTTACTTCAAACAAACCGAGGTTTCGGGCTCGGGAGACGGTCAGCCACGAGACAAAAATAGTTTCATTTCCTATGTATAAAAATCGCGAAAACATAAGAACTCGATTTGCTTTAGAGTATCGTACGAGAGTACGTTATTCGAAGAAAGTGAAGACGACTTTATTACCGACAATGTAAAGTATTTTCAGTTTCAGACAATAAATTTCCACAAGTCAGAGGCAACTCTAGAGCGTGTCACGTGCGAACGCCTGGCGACCGGATAGCATCGCTGTATATTTACAAATGGCGACCAAAACAACGCGATGTGGACCGGCGCCGGCACGCTACCACCGCAGTCGCCTCGACACCCAGCCGGCACACCACATCATCATCACGATAAGGTACTTAAGAACTTTAACAATAAAAGTAACTGTTACATTTTCTTTTATAAGTTTTATTAAACAAGGTGGTGCCATAGGTACCTACCTCAATAATGTTCAAGTAATCCATAGTCAAGTTTAAAATTTATGGTTTTATATAATTTATTTATTTCTTTTCAATTGAACAAATGTAAGAATTTGAAATTATTCTAGTTGTATGTTTTAGTTTTTACATTTCTCGTCACAGAAAATTTATGAATATGGAATGACAAAACACGAAGTGCATCGACACGTCTTAACTCCCTCGACCGAAATGACTCTCTTCCAAAAGAGTTGTTGACTGTAGAAACACGTTGCAGTTTTGTTTTGTGCGTTGCAAGTGTATGACATTTTGACAATTATATGTAGATTATAATATTATATAACCGGACTTTGCCAAGCCTTTAATTGCAAAGTGACTACAATATTATAGTAAATAAATTTAAATTTATTGTTCCAGATGTACCTAATGAATATTTCGACGATAAAATAACTTGTACCTTCCCCACACTTCACTTCAATCACGATGAAGACGTTTCGCTTGGAGCTGACCCTCATCACGATAGTCCTTATACAGAGATGCTACCTCAAGATCCTACGCAACAACGCGCTTATGAACAAGATGGTCTCACACTTTCAGAAAGATAATCCACATAACAATTTGGGTTTAAATTCAAAGAGGGCAAACAGAGAAAGGCCGACCATTATCGAAATGGACGAAAGGACCTGGCCCAGGGGACGAAATCCCGTAGAAATAGACGAAAGAACGGATGTTAGGATAGAAAGTCAACCAGAACCCCTTGATAGTCAGAAACACTCTAAAGAACCTTCTAGGTCAGACTTCTCCCAGCCTGCGCCGCATCCTCAAGCGTCCAGTCCGCAAAAAAGAGAACGAATACTAAGCCTGATGAAAAACGTTCTCTGCAAAAACTTTCCCGCGATTCCTTGCAACATGATCATGCAAGATGAAGCGCTTAACAAACTCATACAGAAGTCGATTCAGCAGATGATCTACAAACAGTTTCAAACCTCTGACGGAAGCACCGTCTCTCCGCACAGTCCCACTGTTTTCCCATTAATTAATAGCGAAGATCTGTCGAACTTCTTAGAGGTGTCAAACACAGGATATTTCAACGCGAAGAAAAAACAGGAAGATGAAAAACGACAAACTAACAGTATAAAAATGCAAAAGCACTGGTCTCTTGACAAAAACTCAAAGAAGAAGGAAAAAATTAAGTCAAATCAAGGAAATCAAGACACAAAAGGAACCAATCTTTACAACAACGGACATAAAAAGATGCTAACGTTTTATAAGGTAAAGTCTAAAGACAAAAAAAATAGTAAGACTGATTACAGAGAGTATTCTGAGGAAAAATTATCAATGTCAGTAGAGGTGCCAGATATGAAAATATCGAAGAAAGTGCCACAGAAGGACATGAAAGATAATATGGCTTATAAAGTGGAGTCTGAAGACCAGCCCATATGGCGAATAGACTACATGAAACACGGGATGCCCAGTATAAATAGGTTTGGGTATGAAGACGACCGACTCAGTGGTAAACTGATAAAGCCCGGGCCCAATGTAATGTTAGACGAGAATCGACTTGAACAGTCTTCTGTGATCAGAAAGGAGATACTACATCCAGACTTGTACATAAAGAAAAACTTCGCACGGAAAGGCAGCGTCAACTTCAATTCGGAAGGCATGGACTAGATATTACATTCAAGACCACCAAATTTCTGGAAAATCTGTTTGTCTTACACATTTTGCGATTTTGTAAATGCATATCTATATTAAAAATAAAGTATGCGGTAAGTGACGTGGTAAGTTCCATTAGAGTTTTTTTTATTTTCTCATTTAATAGTAATTTCGTTCTGTTCGCGACTTGGCAATCCGTCCAGGATAAAACGTACACTGTTCTAGAAGCTGTTTAATTATTGTCCATACTTTTTTTATTGGTCCATAACCCAGAAGTAGACTATGAGAGCATTCTACTGATATAGCACCGCAAACTAATTGTTATATCACGATAACATTTATCGTGCTAAATAGCAACCGACCAAATATAAAAACCACTGCCTACACAAACACTGTTATCATTTCTCTTATCACTTAATTTAGCAACATATTAATTACCATTTGACCTCTTAATGATAAAAACTCAGAGTCATTGAAACATCGTCTTCCCAACGATACGGACTCCTACGAGGCCAGTGTTTCACTGTTTTTCCAAAGAACTTCAAAATTCTCCGAGCTGTTATTATTTCCAAAATGTCTCGTCCTGTATTATCGACACACGTGTTAGACACTGCAGTAGGCTCACCAGCTGTTGGAGTTTTTATAGAACTCTTTAAACAACACAACGAAGGATCTTGGACTCAGTGGCACAGCGCTGTGACCTCCAGTGACGGACGTGCACTGTTTCCTTTCTCGAAGGAATCAATGGCGCCAGGAACTTATAAGCTGAAGTTTGATGTCGACACTTACTACAAAACGCTTGGAAAAAAGACCATCTATGACTATGTTGAGGTAAGTAGGTACCTAAGCTACGACTTCAGGTTAAAAAATACTTAAAATTTTTGCGAAACTAAACTCAACGGAATTTTAAAATGCAGATAAGTCCTTAAATATCACAACCGTACAAATACAGAATAATATCCGCTTAAAACTAAGGAAATGCTAGTGTTTCGTTTATTATGACCGTCGCAAGCTCTGATCCGTCAGCGAGGTCCAACGTGAATGAGGCACTCACACACTTTGAAGCTTTTTCAACATGCACGTTTCATTACAATGTTTTCCTTCGGCGTAAATTATTATTAATAATTTATTAACGACAATAAGGTAGTAGTCTACACATGATTCCAAAAAACCCAGTGGCGCTCAGCCGACTGAATAACAGTTCTCCCAAATAAGTCGTCAATGCTATAAAAATGTTATAATCGCACTTCTCTATTGTGAACAACTTTTCGAAGATGTTATAGAATCATAATTTTATTGAAAACCTATAGGAATAGGTTTCCAAAATTTTTTTATATTTCGAATGAAGTCAAAGTTTCGATAATAAAGTTTACGGAGCTCTAATGTAACCATTTATGCTGTATATTACAGTATCTACGACAACAGTGTTTAAATATAATTATGCCATTCACAGATAAAGAACGTCGGTTATCTCTATATTGGGATATAACTTTTAACTGACCCTATCCAGACGGATTCATGTGCAATACTGTTATTATATAGCTGAAATGCACCAAAGCGCATAGACACGAATGCATTGGCCTTAATTAGCCTGTGTTTGCAAGATTCACGAAAACAAATTATTTACGCCACAACATAGAACATTATTTTTTTGTAATACTAATCTATTATTACAATTCAGATCGTTTATTCGTTTAATCTATTTTGTTAGTGACAGTTAAAACTTATAAACTATGCTAGTAAATTACACACAAATGTAAGAAAATGGTAGGAAATTATTAATAGTAAGTAGGCAATTAAGTACTATCGTACGTCACCCAGACCATTTTGGGTACGTGAATTTTAGTCCAATGCCATAGTATCGGACACGCTACATCTGTTCCTTTTGCATGTTACCGCGTCAAAGCCGTCGGTACGCGCTTTTTTCGTATAATAACAATAACGCAACACACTATGTCTATGATACGCGCCTTCAAAACATGTCGGACGCACTGCAGAACAGGGGCAGCCGCAACAGCATCCTAAAGGTGTTATTGTATAGAACCTTCAAGGCATTGAAAAACTCCTGCGTATAACGAACTCACAGCTTGCAAATGCAGCGTGAAAATAATAATAATAATATATCTTTATTGTTTCTCTCACAAAGTCTTAGTATAAATACAAAAACAGTGCTTAATTATCTAAATAGTACAATATTTAAGTCTGTGTGAGAGACTGGCATCCGTACTAGGAGACCTGTATTACAGATCACCAGCCCCTCCACAATCCGGACCAAAAGCAAGTACAGCTTACTTATACTTAGATAGTTATATCAAGAAATGACTTTATTAATAGACTTAAGGCGCGAGGGTGTGTGGATAAATGAGTGTGTGCATGTGTGTGTGATGGTGTGTGTATGTGTGTGTGAAGGTGTGTGCGTGCGTGTGTGTATGTGTATTTGCGTGTGCGTGTGTGTGTTCTGTGTGTGACAGAGAGTGTGATTGACTATGCAAGGTGTACACAATTTACCTAAATAATGAAATAACCATATTAATTTAGTATTAATTATTTTAAGTTGAGACAATTCACAAATTTTAAGATTAATCATAATTTAGATTTTATTTTAAGTTGGAACAATTAAGAGATTTTCAGTTTCATCATAACTTAGATTTTTAAGCCAACTAGTGACAACTCTTTTACAGTTGTATTTAGTGAGCGAGTATATTTTAGTTGTTTTATTTATTTTATTATATAACTACCCGCCTAGAAAACCGAAGAATCTATTCGAAAAAGCTGTGGTCCAGCGAATAGAAGAATGACATACTTTATATTTCAAACGTTTGCTAATATGGAGCGAAGGATCATAGTTCAGAACAACGTGTTGTTTTAATACAGTGTGCAGGACAAATAGTTGACGCACAGACAAGACATCACAAAGGGAATAAAGGTCTGAAGTAGGGAACATAAAGGGCAAAGACCGACTCACTTTCAGGACAGCTCGCTGAGCTCTTTCAACCTTTATTAAAGAAGATTTAGGTACTCCACCCCAAGCAGTGATGCAGTACGTTAGAACGGGTTGGCATAACGCCAAGTACACCATATTAATGACACGGTTATCTGCGATGTGCCTAAGATTTTTAAAGATATATATTAGTTTACGTGTCCTAGCTGAAAGTAAATCTATATGCATATTGAAACTCAAGGTGTTATCTATCATTACACCAAGATATTTGATATGGGAAGCTAACGTAAGACTGGTACAGAAGCACGTCGGGTCGCCGAGACATGTATGGGCTAAGATGGTGTAGTCGTCATGAGTGGTCCATGGGATATTCTTAATTGAAAATGGAATATATTTAGTTCTTTCTACATTTAACAAAATTGCAAGTTATTGTGTTGATGTGCTAAAAGGAACGATACGCGCGGCGCCTCAACAAATAAAAGGATTGCTCGCTTTAGCACCACCTAAAACTCGAGGGTGACACGGGTTGGGGTGTTCCTGAATCTTATATGTTCGCTGGGGGCGTAAAATGTAGGTAGACCTGAGGCAAAAGTAACAGGGGGCAATTGAAACATTGTCTATATTTCGAAAACGGTGAGTCTTTTTATGCGCGTGAGCTTGTACTTACTCCTCAGACACGTTCCGTCTTGTATTTAGTCGACTGTTATAGGTCGTTTTGTATTTAGTCGACTGTTATAGGTCGT